CCCACAAAAGATGGATTGTTACTTCTTTAGTTCCTTCAAGGTAAAGCCAGATGGATTAAAGATAATTGAGATGTTGTTATATTTGGTTAGTTGAGATATTGAAGAGGCGGAGTATGAAAATTTTGTGATAGATGCAGCTTATGAGCTGTGGTCGGGAGGATTCCCGCCCCAGCATGAGCGATATGAACTGAACTCCCATCGCTGATCGTGATATTGTCCGATCCTTGACAGGAAGTGGAGATCGACAAGTTGTCAAGTGAATTGGTCATGTGGGATGAAGCACCCGAATCCGAGAACCAACTGGCATCTGAGCAGTTTGAAGTAGCAATGAGCGCATTATTCACTGTTCTTCATGGAGGAATGTATTGGGCATTTGGATGATGCCAACAAGCTTGGGCCGAGTGCCTTTTTTGTAGCAAATTTGACATGTGATGGAAGCATTTGCTGTTGTCCGAGGTGATCCATTCACGTTGGAAAATGTTCTTCCTCTGGACCTTCGGCCACGTCCCCTGTAAGTAAACAGGGCTGTAGTAGGATCTTGGATGGGTAAGGCACGAAAAGCATGATTAGCAAGATTAATCGCTGTCTTGAAGGATTTATAGGAGGTGGGAAGGCCATTTAGGATGTCAATAATTATATCTTCAGTATCAACCATAGATCCAACCACTGCTATTTGATATACCAGCAATTTTATTTCGGTTTAGTACTGGGTCATGGTGGAGTTCTTGAGAGATACATTGCATGTGAAGTTTATTTTTGAGTTGGATGACTTGGGATCGGTTAGTAGATTGAAATCTAGATTCTAATGTTGTTCAAATTGCTGCTATAGAGTCAAGAGATATAACGTATGGTAAAACTGAGGAAGAAATAGTCGAACAAATGGATGCTGCAAGATTTTGATCGGTAAGGATCCATTGAGAGTAAAGAGGGAAGATGAAGAGGAACCATCTTGATTTGGCAAATACCTTATGGGAGGAGATGATTGAGGATCAAGAAAGCTGTGAAGGCCATTCGCGAGAGAAATCTTGAGGATTTGTTATTTCCAAATGGCGTAGTTATCAGAGATGAGTTGAATCGGAACGAATTTCTTGAGGTTAGAGACAACGAATTTCAGAGTAGTGGGAATGATCGGATCTTCGATGGACTGCTGATTGCTTTGATCGTCTAAGTGGGAGGAGTTGGAGTCGGCCATGGAGCAGGATCAGAATCCTTTTCCCGATACCATGTAGAAACCTAAGGAACGAAGAAGAACAAGAAAGCACGGTGGAAATAAAGAGAAGAAAGAAATTGATAAATCTTTCATGTCCAGCTACAGAGATTATAGAACTATTATATAGACACAACTAGGTACGGCTCAAGACAAATAAGCCAACTGTGATCAACCATGTCATCAACAAAGCAAACATAATAAAGTAAATCCTACAGTTCTAATAAGCGCCAACTTTGAAGCATAGCGTTGCTCAACGTTGTTATTTTAGTTTGTCTGTCTGCGTCGAGATCTGGGGAGCATAAGCGCTCATTGGCTGCGTCGCTGCCCCGGGGATGGGAGTATTGCAACACTCTACTCTTTGTCAATTTTCCAAGCAAACTAAATAGCACCACGACACTCAAGGACATGGCACCACAGTGTTGTACTTTACGTCAGAACCTAAGTAGGGTGAGGACCAATTAGAACCACCAACAAGCTTAACACACTGAATTGAGATCCGAGACAACAATATAACTTGATTGATCAACACAATCAGATTTTTCACAAAACTAACATGGCAATGATTGAGCGTTCCTTAGTGGTAGAAATCTGTTGATGTCATCATTGCTGTGCTCAACGTAGTTATTAATACCCTTGCCAATGAGGCCAAGTTGACCCTTCCACACTTGTTAAAGAACATGCTGGAGTTACAACAGGTCAAGAATAAAAGAATTTCTTTTGAATTTTTTCTTGTTTTTATGGAAAAATATAGGTTAATCTAAAATTTTAATCATTAATTTTGAAAATAACAAATTAATACGTAAGATTAATTATGAAATAATTACTACTATATATGCAAAGTTAATTTAAATTAATGACTTAATTTTTTCAGTTGCAAGCACGCCTTTTTTTTTTTTTTTTTTTTTTTTTTGAAAACAGAAAATTAGTATGCAGACAAACAAGCTAAATATACAAAACAAATAAAAAAATAAATGGCATCCAAATATTACCCTATATAAAATCAATTTATCAGATATGTATAAATCAATATAATTTTTTCTTCGAAAAAAAAAAACAAGTTTAAATGTCATTTCATAACACAAATAAATGATCTTATAATTAAAATTTATTTCATATTTGCTGAAATTCAGTTAATTCGGCAAAACATTTAATCGATAACTTGGATACAAAATAAAAATTAAATAGCCCAACAAGAAGTTGCTATAGATAAAAATAAGAAACCATTCACGAGTCTAGTTGCAAAAAGTCCCTCACGCTGAATGAGATTGGAATGAAATAGTTCATTATGGGACTATTTGGTTGCCTTTATTTATATTGTATTATAAAATAAATACAAAGTAAAAATGTGAAGCATTTGAAGCTCTTTAGATAGTATATTTGACACAACTCTCCTTGGCCTATTGGTTGAGAGCTTAGGCTTCCAACTAAGAGGTCCAAGGTTCGAGTCTTTGTGTATGCGTTGTGTGTGTGAGTTTGCCTTAAATGGCCTAAATGTCCCAAAAAAAAAAAAAGATAGTATATTTGGGTTGCATTCAAAACTAACTAAAATCGGATACACAAGACTCGAACCTAAAATTTTTTAACTGATAACCTAAGCTCCCAACCATTAGACCAGTGTAAGCTGTGTGGCTCTTCTTCTCTCAACAAACGCTATTCATCTCTCACAAAACCCTAGCTTGGGCCATGCCCAACATTCTCTCTCACGAAACACAGACTTTTTTCGTCGTTCACACTCGCCAAGTCCGAGTACATAATTGGGGACTCTCTTCATCGTTTTTTCTCATGAAGTCCTTGCAAAAAATCAGAAGCCTACTCCAACGATGCTTTAGTGAACAAGATCATTCTCCATTTTGCCATATGCGTGTGAAGGTAGTTTATATTTTAGTTTGTTTGCACTGACCCAAACTTTTCTTCTTTGGCTGCTGGAGGATGTGACCATTCAAAATTTTCTCCTTTTTTTTTATGTCCCATTTTGTTCATTGTTTTATGGTGAATGACATCTCATTGAGGTGGAGAAATTATTTTGTACGGAATTTGGACGGAAAGAATCGATCGAATATGTTAGTAGTATGTACATTCACAAAATTGAGGGTTCTTTCTATCCCGACTCATAGAATAATTTCCCCCTTAGGTGAGTAAATATTTCTTAATCACTAACCTGCAGCGAGATTAGGAACTCAATGCTTCATAAAAAAAAAAAAAAACTTCATAAAAAAAAAAAAAAGAACACAAGCTCACTACTAGAAAGTTAGGTTTTTCGCACCACTTATTAGGAGCGGTTTTAAAACCGCTTCTAAAACTCTTTGTTTGCACCGGATTTAACCGGTGCAAATAGCACCGGTTTTAACCGGTGCTTTGAACCGATCCAAATCCTCTTTCCCGCATAAAGGCATAAAGCCCTAATTCCTTCGGCGCGAAACTAATTCTCCGCTGAAGCATTCTGCGATCCTCCTGCGCGCGACTCAAGCAGAGCATTCCAGGTTCGTCTCCGCCGATCCCTCTTCTCCTTCTGCGCGTGACTCAAGCGGGGGTTCGTCTCCGATCTCTCTTCTCCCTCTTTCGCGCGACTCAAGCGGATCTCGGAGAGGATCGAACTCTCGGTATTCTCCTCACGCGACTGTGTCTCCTCTGCTTCTTGCTCTTCTTCTTCTTCTCATTCTAATCAACATACCCCAGACAAGCATTTGAAGTTTTTTTTAGGGGAATTTTCTGCAACTTTTTTTGCATAAACTTGTTGAAATGGCTTATAAAAAACTGACGGTAATCATCCCCTTTCTTCTTTTTAAAGAGGTTGCTTATGTTTTATCAGATTATGTAATTTTTATGTTTAATGGATATGTTACTCAAGTGTAGAACATTATCTGATTCTTATTATTACAGGAATGAAATTTTTTTTAGCAATATATAGTCTACAATTCAACACATTAAATGTGGGTTATTTGTGTTTTTAGTGGCATTAAGAATATCCTATGTATGCATGCAGTGCGTCCAAAGAAAATATGAAAAGTTGTATTGCATTCTGTCTGTTGCTTCTGAGAAGAATTCTGAGACTTGCATGCATTCTGTCTGTTGCTTCCGAGAAGACATGTGAGAAGAAAACAAAGCTCTGGTCATCAAAGTAAAGAATATAAGCTTGCAAAGCATGTGCTCATCAAACCCAAAAAGTTAACTTTAGTATTCATTTGCATGTAGTTGATTAGGATCCTGCATATGCATGTAATGATACAATAGACTAAGAAATGATAATTGTGGTACTCATACCATAAACATGAAGTGGCCAAGAAGATGAAGACATGATGCTTTGGGTAACCAGCTTAATTAGTGTAAAAAATGGAAGGTACGCAAATCATCGTATGGAGAGAAAGTATTCCGTGAGGAGTTCGAATAAGAAAAATCGTCCGGATATGTGAATGTAAACACATTGTATATAGTATGTGTACACAAATGTGACTTACACTGTACATAATATTTGTACACCGAAATAATAAGATATGAGCCAAAATTAGCTCAAAAGTATCATACCCTAGTTTCATATATATCTTATTTTTGCTCATGACCAACATTGTGCGGCCTCCATGAGTTTCTCTTGCAACAACTTTCTCCAAACTCTCCACTCTTCTCTCACCCTCTAGTTGTCCTATTTTCAACGTTGAACTTTAAATCCATTTTCTTACTCCCCTTTAAATGATGTTGCTCTTGCGGCCTAGCCTCCCTCTCTCTGTTGATTGTTGCCCAACTTCGCTAGCGCAAACTGGCCAACCACCACATTTAAGATCATATTAGTTCTCACCTCTCAACATAGAGTTAGATTCATATGTAACAGGAGAGGGCCGCCATAAATGCTGCAAATGCAAAGAAACAGACTTGTCCTCATACTATGGGGCGTGTGAGTTCGGTTCGAAGGCAACAAGAGATGGTATATATTTAAATTTATATAAATTGTATGTTCACATTTATTAACTAATTGCCTAATGATGAAATTTGTTGATATAGGCTATCAAAGATAGATTATTATTATGGAGAGTTAACAGATTGCGTAAAGATGGCACCTGGTCATCTGAAGATGCTAATCAGAGATGGGTAATTTTAGTCTAGCTATAATTTTTTTATATGTATTTCATTATTATTTTTTGTTTATTTAAAATAAAAATTAACTAAATTTATTATAACATAGATACAAGCTTGCGAGCTCTTGGCTAAGGATGGACTTACACCAGAGGATGGGAATGCAGAGGAAGAAAACCCATGTTTGTGCAAATTGTTTTGAAATGCATCTTGGTATGGAAGTCTACTATTTTGGATGTTACTTAAAATTATGATATTGTAGATTACCATATATGAATGATGAATGTTCTACTATTTTTTGGGATTATCAGGTTTACCATATATGAATGATGAATTTTTGCTTTTACTGAATTCTGTTTGATCTTAGGGGCTGTTTGGTATTGTTGCTCTATGTTGTCTTTAAGTGATTTGTTCAGGAGTTAAAATTTGCGTAATCAAATAGAGGCTTGAGGGCCATAGTGTTTGGGAAGCATGAAGATGAAATGACAGGAATTTGATCTTAAAATGTAGATTTGTTTTAGTTTTATGGGAAAAAAGTCATTACAGTTACGTTGCAAGCTTGAGTCTAAGCTTCTTGGCAGCTTCTGTTGTATTTTATTTTCGAATAAGGATGGTATTTTATTTTTTTATTTTTTATATATTATGAACTTTTACAGATGAAACAAATGGTTGAGATTTATATCAAACTAGCTTGCTGAGCTTGACACAAAAAAGGAGGTCGGTTATTTTGACATTTTGTGCTTTGGTTCTCCTGAAAGTCTGCTAGCTAGCTTAAGGTATTAAAGGTGTGAAATGATTTTAAAAAAAGTGCTTGCAACCTTGTTAGCAGGATATGAATAAAAAAGTACCACTTCCTCGGGAGGTTCGCAATATTCGTCATTAGTTATTCTTTTAAGCTACATTATGCAAAGATGAAAATTGAAACTTTAAATTGGAGCCAAATTTGATATAGGATTACATAGCTCGCTCTTTTAAAAAGATTGTCTTAAAAGTTTTAAGATTCTAAAATTTGATCAAGCATTCATCATCAACATCATTAGCCTTATGCCAACTACTTGGTGCCCGCATCTAAATTTTCATTCTCTATTCATCCCTGTTAATAATTGAAAGTGTTATTATACACAACAGAAGCTGCAAATATTGTGAATGCAATTTGGATATGTAATTCCTTTTGAGTCTAATATAAGTGTTGATTGAGAAGAATATAACCAAGGGTTGGATTGTGATAAAATTTTTTCAATGTATTAGATTTTGATTTATTATTATTCTGTGTGTAGTAATTTTTTTCCACCCTACTCATGATTATGAAGGATAAATGCTACTTATGATGCTGATGATTGCAGAAAGATTTGTGCAATTAGATTTTGTGCTGTAAAATTGTGTAGACATTAAAGTTCTGAAATTAAAAAAAAAAATTCGATATATTGCAGCGGTTTTAACCGGTACGAGGTTCCAGAATTGTACCGGTTTAAACCGCTGCAGATAGAAAAATATGTTCTGGTTGGAAATATTTGCATCGGTTTTGACCGGCAGAATTCTGGAATCTTGCACCGATTAAAACCGCTGCAAATAGAAAAATATGTTCAGGTTGGAAATATTTGCATCGGTTTTAACCGGCCGAATTATGGAACATTGCACCGGTTAAAACCGCTGCAATGTCTAGCGTTTCGGAATTGCTACCCCACCGGTCGTAAAACCGCTGCGGAATATCGTTGTAGCGCATAGTAAATATAGCGTATTTGGAGCGGTTTTAGAACCGCTGCAAATAAAATTGTGGCGGTTAAAACCGCCACGATAGCTCAAAATTTGTGCTGCGATTACCTTATTTTTTGGTAGTGGCTGTAGCTAATTCTTTTTCCTGTTTAGAAAAGTCTTCAACAACCGTTCTCTTCTTAATAAAATTTCAACTTCCAATCCAAGGCCCGACTACCAGTTCTCCATTCCTTTCAATGGAATATCGATCTTTCTTCCTCCCCCTCCTAACAATCATTGCCTTCGCCGCTGCTGCAGCTCAACCCCATAGCAACATAACCTTAAGTTCCATCTTCACTACCACCACCGCCGGCGCCATAAACCTCTCATGGCTCTCCCCCTCCAGCGACTTTGCCTTCGGCTTCCTCCCCCTGCCAACTAACTCCTCCCTCTTCCTCCTCGTCATCTGGTTCGCCAATCTTCCAATCACTAAAACCCTCATCTGGACTCCAAATCAAGGCAAACCCCTGCATCCTCACCACAGATCGACAGATCTCCCTCCGAGTTCCCACTGGAATCGAAGTCTGAAACACCGGTGCTCCGGAAAGCCTCCTATGCTGCCATGCTCGATACTGGCAACTTCGTTCTTGTGGCTTCTAATAGCTCCGTTCTCTGGAATAGCTTTTCCGACCTGACAGGCACTATTCTATACACACAAACCCTAAGACCTGATAGGCTGATACCACAATTGTGGCGAAGCTGACTGACGATGATTCAGCGACGACCGGTTCTAGCTATGGATGCAGGTTGACGGAAATCTTGTATTCTATAAGAACGTTGTACCCACCGGTACCTCATACAGTCCCTAATAGGCCGCCACTTCCCTGAGGGCAAATTCCCAGTGAGGATCTTTCTCATCTCTTACCACCTTTTTCTAGTAAAAAATTTTTTGAAAATTTTGATCAAGCGTAATCCTGAAGCTAATATTTATGTGGCATCATTTTAAGAGAGGCCTCCCGTTTGAACCCACATAAATCGGAGAGATTATTCTGTGTCCTTTGAATGCCTCTGGATTCAAATTCGGAAGCACCGTATCACCGAATGCACTAGGTGACGTGGAACTTCCGAATTCGACTCTAATGGCGTCCAAACACCGTACAAAATAATTTTTCTACAAATTGTAGGAGGGCCAAAAATATTAGTTTAGTGAGGCCTAAATTAAAATTTTAAAATATTCTTTTGAATTTTTTCAATTAATACTTCATATTTTAATTTTCTTACATTAAAAAATTAACTGTTGAGACTTTGAATGGTTTTATAGCTAAAAAAAAAGGTTGAATGAGCAAACTAGTTGTCTTTAATATATTCATTAAATAATTTCAAGATAATATTTATGGGTTAGGTAATGACAATGACAAAAAAAAATTTTGTCCAATGATAAAATTAAATTGTATTATACATTTAATCAAAAGTTTATCTATTCTAAATGTTCAAAGGTCATACTTGAATAGGAATGACTTTGTATGCCTTATAATATATATAAATGGGAATATTTTAATATTATTTATTTGAAAAATATGACTGAATATTATTTATCTTTTTTTTTTCTTCTTTTTTTTTACCCATTTGGCTTCTCCAACTCAAGGCTTGTCTTCTAGCTAAACGGGCTTATACGTATTATCAACTCTGACCTCAAAAACGACGAAATCAACCTCAGATTACAACCAACAAGGAACTCTCGACCACAACGGAGACATCTGTCACTATGTTTACCCAAAGTCGACAGTCGTCGTCGACAGCGCGACAAAGTGGCTGCTCATGGAGTTTAAGCTGGCAGACATCTACCAAAATTTGATTACAACGCCCGAAAGAGGAGCGTGCAGGGACAACAGCTAATGTGGCTCTAACACGAAGTTGATGGTTTCCTGTCATTGCCCGGTGGGCTATTATTTGGTCGACCCGAACAAGACTTATATGGGATGCAAATCCAACTTCACCATGCCTAGCTGTATCAATAGAGCATTGAGCAAGGGGTTTCTTAGGGTGAGAATTGAGAAATTGAACTTCCTAAAAGATGATTATGTCCGGTTCAATAATATGGATTAGGTGGACAATGCAAAACATTGTTTGGATAATTGCCTTTGTGCAGCTTCCGACAGAATGGGCAATTCTGGAAGAAAAGAAGCTTCCTTCCTCCAATCGGAGGAAGGGGAACTACGTAAGCAATGTAGCCTTAATCAAAATAAGTAACGACGATAACTTACAAAGACCACCCAACCCC